TTATAAAAATAAAAAATTCCTAAACAAATATTTAGAGTAACAAATAAAATTTCAACATTTTTAGATAAGTTTTTAATTATTAATATTAATTTATGTCTGTATTAATGATATTTTGTTAATATTTTTTTAATATTTTCTCGATGTTTTGTAATAAAATGTCGATTTATCTAATACCTCTGAATGTTTTCTTTTACTTATAAGTAAACTAAAATTGATAAAAGGAAAACTGCACTTAAGTAAAATGATACTAAACTTACGAACTCTATACTATTCTTAAATACTACCGAGAATAATCAAACTAAGGCCAGACATGGTTCACTAAATAAAATAAATATTATTTTTTTAAAAGTAAAAGGTTCGATTCTCCTCCCACATTAAAATCAAGTCGACAATAATTACGACTTTCTCCTTCGGACGACTTTAAAAGATTAAAAGCACGTGGTTTTTTAAGCTTTGGTTTTGGTTTTCCAAGTTATTGAAGAATATAACAACAGGCCAGCGTGATGCGTGTGTGTTTTTCTTTCTTCTACTTTTCCGTTTTTTCGCAACCAAAAAAAGCGACCCCTTAACTTTTTCTGGTAATTGGAATTTTTAGGTACTTAGGGTTATCAATTTCTATTTTTTATTCTTTTTGTTTCCTTGTTTTAAAATATTATATATATTTTAAATATTGCCCAATGCTTTAGGTTTTTGGTACGACTGTTTTTTAAAACATGTTTGAGAGGGATTTTCACGTGGTTATAATCATTTTCACTAATATCAAAATCACTACCATTTTAAAAACACCTAAACTTTAATTATTAATTAATGTTGCTATTTTGAAGGTTAGTTTGAAATAATTTTCAATTTGATACAAGAGAGAAAAAATTTGAGATAATTGTTTGGTATTTTAGAACACTCCAAATTTTTAATGAATTTAGAATATGTTTGAGATGATTTTAACATGACTAAAATCACTTTCACAAATGTCAATGTTACTATGATTTTAAAATAACATGTTTGACAATAATTTTCGGGTGATTTTAGGATAATCCAAAATCATTTTAAGTGATTCTCGGTTCTCAAGTGATTTTCTATAAAAAATTAATAAGAAATTAGTTATTAAAATATTTATTCTTTTAAATTTTAATTTGATCTTTCTATTTCGCCTTATTTTCATATCTAGAAATTTTATTTTTTTATTTCTAAAATGTTGGTCACTATCTAACTTTATTTATCTTTACTTTTCTTCATTCTCATCACTAATTTTTTTCTCTAGAATTTTTGTAATTTCTCTAAATTTTTAGTTTCAGTTTATATGGTCTCTCCCCCTCTAAAATTTTTCTTTTTAAGATTTTTGTTCACTCTCAACTTTTCAACTTTTCTCCCTTTTTAACTTGTGTCAAAATTTCTCTTTAAACTCAAATATTAATTATTCAAAATCACTTTTTTGTGATAAGATATACCAAAGTGGAGAATCTTAAGGAGCTAGCTTCTTTAAGATGGAACAATTTTTTTTATTTCTAAAATTTTGGTCATTTTCTAATTTTATTTATCTTTAATTTTTTATTTCGAAAAGAACATAAAATAATAGAGAAAAAGGTCAAAATAGTGATTTTTGTCAAATTATTATAAAATCAATTTTGAAAAAAAATTAATCATTCCATAATCACTTTGGAAGCCCTGAAAATCAATGTCAAATGCGCCCTAAGAAAAAAAATATTGTTTATTTTTTGGAATTTCCGCAAGTATTCCTATTTTTCGAAGGAGTAACAAAACTTCATTAATAGACTTAATTTTCCAACACTCTCCCTATTTTAATGGCCCCTGTATTTTTTCCCCTAAAATATTACCCAATATTAATAATGGTTTTTTCGTCATGTTCACATATTCTTTCCTATTTATAGCTCTAGTACTTCAAACTTTTAATAAACAAAAAAAAAACACCAATATTATTTTTCACTATCAAGTAAAATATTTCTTTTACATTCTTGATGGTGTTAATAATTTGGTGATCTTAATTTAATTATTTTCTCATTTTATTTAATAACGATACACTTAATGTTATGACAAATAGTTTGTTTAAAAGTATAAATACGTATTTTCTATGTATTTGAAAGTGAAATATAATATTTCAAAAGTATAAGATATGTTAGGTTCAAATGAAACTTATTTTATTTTTCATGCTTCTCTCATCCAAAAGTTATGAAAGTGAATTCGTAATATTTTGTTCGAGCATTAAAAGCTTTTTTTTTCAAAGTTAATTAATAATTGTCCTTCTTAAAACCCTATTAAATGCTCCTTCAAGGATCCCATTTGAAAATTTAGCAAAGAAATATGAGTTTGAATTTCTTTGTATGTTATATTATATTAATAGTAATAATAATATTGGACCATAATAGAGAAATTCATTAATTGCTTGGATGAATAATGTATGAAATTGAGATATATGACAAAAAAAGCATTAAATATTATATTTGACCAAAATGATAAAATAAAGAATAATTATTCAAATGTAGATGAAAATTCATTAGTCTCACCTCCACCATCACCAATTTTGTCATTTAATTTTAGAATTCTATGCTTGTGACAATAATTCAATGCACCNAACTTTATCTTATTACGACTAAAATTTGTCTTATCCAAAAATTATAATAAATTTACAATCCATTAACATAATTCAACTAAAGAAATATTAATAACCTATTATGTTCTAAAAAAATAAAATTTGTAATTTATTTTCATTTTAATTAGTACCTATAAATTTTTCCGTTTTTTAAACTTTTCTTTTCTTTTCTAGTACAATATGTGGGGTGGTGGATCTAATTCACAACCTTTTGGTTTGACATATATGTCAATTACCGTTGAACTAGATTTGCTTTAACTTTTTAAACTTCTCTTTCTTTTGAGAATAAATTGACAATTTCATTGATTACGTAGGAGATACTCATATATTATGACGAGGATTGAATTAATCTAAATTCATACAAAAAGAAATCAATATCATCAATGACCATTCTACTATGAGAAGTCGGTCAAAGTAATTGTATTTACAAAAATGAAAAATATGGCAACTCGAGATTGATCTAAAAAAGAAAAGGAAAAAAAAAGTGGGATGCAAAAAAGGCATGGTTGGTTGAAGGAATTCCTTTTAACAAAAAGAAATAAAAACATCCTTTTCATTTATATATATATATATATATATATATATATATATATATATATATGTTGTGATACAAAAAAAAAGTAATAAAAATAAAAAAAAATAAAAAATAAGTTTGTCAAAATGTTGAATGAGTCCATCCAATTGACAACAAACTTCTCACATATCTAGGCATTGTTTCTTTTAAGTTTTTCAAAGGAAGTTTCCCAAGAGAGAAAACAATGCACAAACCCATCAATTTCAAAAGGCAAATAAAATAATTTTGCAACTTTCCATGACAATTCTCACTTGCATGCATGACACACATGAATTTTGGAGAATTAATTTCTAATTAATATTATTGTCTTTTTAAATATAAAAAAAGAATAATAATATTGATTGCCAAGGTCTTATGACCCACGTAAAAAAACAAATGGTTAGAAGATCTTGTCAATCCAATAGAGGCTCAAAATAATATATGTTTTTTTGTGTGTCTTTCTACTCCCGTCTCTTGTGTTCTTTGTTATTCTTAGAATACCATAACAAGCCGTTCACCTAAATATAGAATATTACCTTGATCATTTTACTCTAGCTTGTTCAAAGTGATGTTTATGCTCTCGTTCTAGCTCCCACCCATCGATAAAGTCTGCTTGGAATTTATCTCGGTAAATAAGTTTCTATTTATATTTTGTTTATGAGATTTATGGTGTTTCTTTTTGTTTTTCTTTGTGTTCATGAGATCCATCTTTTTTCGTATATTTTTGCGAGGAAAAAAGAATTTGACATAATTAATGATCTCATAATTGTGTGGATATGGACGTACCAGATCTCGACCCAAGACCCAATCATATAAGAAATTAAGAAAAAGAATTTTTGGATGAAATTGTAGTTTTTATTATTATTATTTATTTATTGGGGTTTGAAAACGGAGGGATGGGTCCAAAAGTAGGCACCGTCTTTAATTGACACATGAATAAATTGATGCACAAAAAGAGAATTTTATCACTTTCTTTTACCTCACACCTTTGACTTCTAATTTGCTTCTTTGATTTTGGTTTATATTTAGGTTTAGGTTTAGCTGTTTGTTTGTTTGAGTGTTCGTGGGACTCTCTTTTGTTATTCACTTTTCCAAATAAGATCGATTTAATACCTATTTGTATGCTTACCACCAATACAAATTCGACAGTTTTTCAATTTTTGAAAAATAGAAAAATAACTATGTTTCTATATTTTCTGTGAGCAGAAAATTAATGTTGACCAATAAATAATATTCAAGTATTTTTCTTCTTTTTTTACCCCCTATATGTTATTTTTAACATATATTTCAATTGAAATAATTCATCTGGTTAAAATCTATCATATTTTAAAAAATTAAAAATAGCACATCATATGTGTGGAGAATGAGAATTTGAACTTATAGATGAAGTAGAAAAGTTGAAAATACAATAATAAAAGGTATCGTTTCAACTATTTTTTAATTTAAAAAACAAGGTCTGGTCATGAAAATTTTGGTGTGCCTAATGTTATTTAAAAATAACTTTTATTTAGAAAATACACACCCAATAATATAATAGTAATCCATGTGGCATTTAAAAAACATTGTTTTATACAAAC